ATCACTGACATTTAAACTCTGAAAATCAACGGCTAAATTGTCCTTTTCTGCAGTGTTGTTTATAAAATATTTTACTTGTGTAATTTTATCGCAGGCAGGCTATGAGTTACTGAGTGAGGCTCTTTCGAAGTAAATTTATAGATTTAACTGCTCCGGTTAGAAATCTATATAGGTAGACAGACTTGGTTAGTTTATCGTTGGTTTGCTAGAAATTTTCAAACCCGGTTTGTAAAAGAAATAGTAAAGTTTGTCAAGAACGCTACACTGAGCCATTTGGTAGATACGGAACACTATATTGATAAATTTCAGTTTTAAAGCAATCTACTTCCCTCTAGATTGTACACTTCTAATTGCTTAGCATGGTTGATTCAGTTGTCATTGAAAATTTCAATCCTAATTTATGTAGCCTGTGAACTTTTCTACTGAGCTTTTCTATCACACGGCTTTCAACTTCTATGCATATACATTTCTTAACTTTTCCTATCCCGACAATATATCGGGCAACTTTGACTGGACACTAGTAACTAGTGTGATATGTCTAAGCTTTCCTCTGTTGCAGACTGAGTCCTATCTATCGGGTAACTGTGCAAATTGTCTCCATTTCTTCTTCGTCGTCGTCTTTTTCTTTTTCTTCTTCTTCTTCTTCTTCTTCTTCTACTTCTTCTACTACTACTACTAGTTCTGGGACACTTGCACCAGCCATTTCACAGTTGAATGCTACAGTGAACGAGGCATATCGAGGACTAGTCTAAGTGACAAGCCACTTTTATAAATCTTAGGTAGGCCATTTAATCCGGGTGTCATCATACCGACATGTTCCAATGTTCTTCATAGAAAACCTGTGAAGTGTAGCCTTGATTTTTCAGCTTTCTAATGACTCTGTTAAGTGGGTCTCAGTCTCCTCTGTGTTGTGTTCCTGTTAACTGACAACTTCTGTAGTTTAAAGCGATCGCTAAGCAAAGTCATCATTTCACCCAAGTAATCAGTCTTATCCATGAGACAGACTCCCTAGCCTCTGTCAGGCTTGGACATTACGAAATTCTCATCTGCTTTCAGTTTCTTTCAAGTCTCTTATATGTTTTGGTTAAAATACTATTCGCATTAAATCTACTATTCATGCATTTGTAACAGCAGTCGACTAAATTTGGTTTCAATCTGTTAACCTTCTTATCTGATGAAGGCACTAGGTCATCAGTCTGAACATAAACGTTTTCAAAAGTGAACATGTGTGTCAATTTTAACGAATCTTTCTTATATGACTATCGGAAAATATAAGACTGAGCAAGAAGATTTCCAAGTCCGTCTCATCAAGAACAACACTAGAAATTTTGTAGACTCTGCAATATTCTTTGTCGACTCACTGACACATGACGCACAATGTACGTACATATACAATCGGTTTCTCATTAACTCGACTGCATAACCACTTGACTGATCCTAGTATTAATTCCGGCACCAGCTTTACTACTAAACACTAATTAATACACTTGGATTCCAAATCTGCTAACCATATTGATATCAAAGACTGATGTGAAGTTATCGAATATCTGGTGAGTTCATCTTGTTGTAAATTCAGCAGATTTGAACACTTGGTTCAAATGTTAGTCAATTTGAAGTCCGTAGTATTGTTTACATAATTATTCAAATCTCTGGATTAATCACTATTTCAAAATGTCCTACGAATTTGGAAGCACTTGTTGAGAAGAGTTGGTTTACGGAAGCACACTTCGTTTACCTGGTGAACTAGTTTCTTCAAGAGGCTCTGATCCAAGTGTTTCTGATGTTCATAGTTACACTCAATGTCTAACACGTTTTATGCGTCAACTTCAACCAGCTCCAGCAGGTGCACAAAGCAGGAAAGTGAAACTCGATAATAGACTTCAGAACTGAACCCACGTTGTAACGCTGTACGTAAACCCTTGCAAGCTCCTTACGATGAACCTATCAAAGTCATCAGTAGGAAAGAAAACATTTTTGTCATTGATCGAGCAGGACGCCAGGATACCGTCAGCGATGATCGACTAAAACCAGCCGGCGGTGAGGGTGAACTACTAACCTCTGTGTCATTGACATTCCGAAACTCCGTAAAGACAAACCTAAATATCGTTCTCGATGATGGCTAGCGGGCTGGCTGACTGGCGTAGATGCATTCACTCTCTGTGATTTATCATATCCAATAAAACTCTACTCTTCTTCCCTATTACTATTCTACTTACCTCACTCTCAATTCTCTCTTTTATCTGTGTGTGTGTTTTGAATCTCTCTTCTCTTGCTTTGTGTGTTACATGGAGTGATTGTGTCAAGTTGAACTGGAGCACATCTGTGGAAAGTTCTATGTTGAAAGCAGGCAGTACTTGCCTGAGTCGTACGCAGACTTTTTCAACCTGGTCAATTTTTCTTTGATTTAACTGTTCTATTTGTTATATCATGTAATCCCAATTAAGGGTCTGCATACATTCGGTTTTTGTATTCACTTGTTATTCCATACGTCGTTGATTGACAAATAAGAAATACAGAAATGTTCATAAAGTACAAAAAGAAATTGTTTCATTTTTATTTAAGGCGTATTATGTACATCCTTTCTGTCTTTCATTTACATCCTTTGCATTGATTCTGCTTCTGATAAATTTCGCAGTTTAGCGTTTTCTTCTCGTTCGTTCTAATATTCTTTATTTCTCTCATTGCAGTGTAGCCACAGTACCCCAGAAATTGGATGCAATCGGTCGTCATCGGCTCCGTATGGATCATTCTGCTGTTCCAGTTGTACCAATATTCCAGTTGGTCCATTCTTCTAGTCAAATCAATACCTGTCTCACAGTCGCCCGCTAGGATTAAATTGTTGCCGGTCTCCCACCAACCTTCTACGGTGCGAGATTCCCTGTGGTGCACATTCCAATGTTAAAGACTTTATTTTAATTTGTACAAATACGAACTGGCTTCAACGCCACTTTTCGCTTTTTCCATTGTGCCGTCTTCCGCACATTCCTTGAGTTTATACTAAGGCCAGATGCCTACAGAAGAAGTTCGTTCAATCACTACACTTTCAATGGACGTAATCTATCTTATTAGCCGACATGTAAATTCTACCTAATCTTTTCTTCTGTCTCTTCATTAGTATTGTTTTGTCTTCTCAGTTGTAACATTCTACATTTTCAAATTTCTTGTTCTCTACCCCCCACCCGATTCAATCTCTACACCTCACTACCACTGTTACTGACTTGAACAACGCTCAGTTTCTAGTCATTCATGTTACATCATCCAACTTATTCACTCAATTTCACTTCTACTTAATCTCTACCTGTAATTACCTCTGTTGCTATCCTAACCTAAGTTGTAACATTTTAGCCAATTATATTACGTCATCTAGTTTCTTAACTCAATCTTACTTTAGTTGCTGTCTGATTAACTTTGTCTCTATACTACATCATTCTTGTATTAACTAATCATTTATCTAAACTTGACAAACCTCATGTACACACACACAAATATTAATATATAAATGAGATTGTACAGCTATGTGAATAAATTCGCCGAAAAGAGTCTCTTCGCTGAATGTCTTCTCTTTTTCATATGACTCAATAGGGGTTTTCAATCTAAGGCTATATGCGTTAGATAAGTTCGAGACTTTTTCCTCAGGTGATCTTCACCTCTTATTCTACTCAGATATACGCCACACTTGAGCACTTTTTTCTAATAACCAAGTCTTTTCAACTTACGTTTTGTCGTCAGTACTTACAGGTTAGGTAGAGTTCTGAATTATTGGCTGCATAGGGAAATTGCGTGAAGTAAGCACTGGTAAAGTGTAGCTTATCAACAGCACTACCAGCAATTTACACACTGATTTTCCCACATGATATAAACTGACTCATACTTCGTAAACTTGCTTGATAGGCGTATTTTCCATGCAGCATTGAAAGTCGGCTATTCTTGCTTTCTGTGTTCGCAATATCCTCGGAATATATTTATTGATATTTCGGATACATGTAACCTCTCGCCTGTCTCACTTTAAGTCTATAGTTGTCGGCATACATGCAGGGAGTCTCAGTTCACTGAGATTCAGTCTATGCAATTAAGTTTATACTTTCAGGGAGGTGGAAAGTACTCCTTATTTTAGATTATGATATTCGATCTTCTTAAGCCACAAGCTTAGCTCTGTAAATTATCGAAAATCCTCACAAACGTCCGTCTATAACCGTAAAGACTCTTAGGTCTTATGCAGAAAAAAACAAGTCTGTTTCTGTTAGCATTGCAAGTCAAGTTGCTTCTGATTTCTCTGCTCACCTGGGACGACATACAAAATAAGATCGATCAACAACCTATCTAGCCTGGAAGTTGGTCAGTTCAAAAGTACTATTACCATCACAGAAAAATTTGAGAAGAGGTGTAATATTCGTCAGGTGAATGCTTCTCGAGAATAGTCTATAACAATCGTCTAACCTGAGGTAGCCAGCCATTGTTATTCTCTACTTCTTATTACTATATCAGTTGAATAGTCTGTGCAACGGTAGGCTCTCCCCCTGGCTCACTCAGCTCACACTGTCTCTCTTACCGCACAAATCTGGAACAGAAAGAAGTAAGCTATGGAGCATTGGCTATTTCACAAAATAATATAAACAGTAATATTTATTCACCACACTATATTCCGATAAATATCCATTTGACAATCAAAAGCAAAATGACTTTTATGCGTATCTCAGCATTATTATTGCACTACAGTACAGATCAACTCAATAATTAGTAAGATATGCTCATTTTGATTGCCCATGTAGCCGTGTGTGTGTGTGTGTGTGTGTAGTGAATTCTACAGCAACAATAGGATACACTGTGTTCTACAAAAATAACTCAAACAGTTTATCTGTTCAAGTGAAGGATAGAGCTGTGAATGGAGTGAAAAATCGACAAGAGGAAAGTACGGAGAGTATCAGATAATCGTTTTCTGACGGAATAATTTCTAGCTTTCAAACATTCATTTTGCAGTCAAGCACATTACATGTGTATATGTGGATTTGAAGACTAGACATTACGAATTCATTTTACGCTGTTCATTTAGTTTCCAATAGGCACTCATGAATTTAGTCATTTCACAGGAAACCTTCGGATGATAGAATCTTGAATCGGATCTATCCATATCCATCTGTAAAGAAGAAAAACGAACAGATCGGATTAAGACTGTAAAGTGACAAGCGACTAAATGACGAGATGATATTAGGTGAACAAATACCACTATCTAACGGTTGTTTCTATCAAATTTTGCAGATTTAAGAGTCTTTTTATTTAGTTACCTCAGGAATCAACCTTGAACTTTTGAATTTGACTTCTTGTAGGACCAGTGAGACTTTGCGACAATGAAGTTTGAAGACTGATAAGTTAAACACAGCTAAGGGGTATTAGATGCCGTAACTGATTAACTCCTCCAGTGTTGTGGAACTTACCCATCCCTGTGGTTGTTCTAGATGTAACTCCTTACTGAGAGAGAATCGAATACACCTTAACTTCACGGAATCCTTCCAAGTGAAAACGAGAGTAAGACAAGCTGGCTGCCTACTACTATCTCCAATGATTTTCCTGATTCCGGTAGACTGCATAGTGTGACAGACACAAAGTGGGCAACGAGGAGACAGGCATAAAATGGAACCACACAAAAAATTTCAGCGATCTAGATCGGGTTTTCGCTGATTATATATATCCGATTTCCCGCAAACCGGAAGATATGCATGTGAAAAGCAACGAGTTGGCAGAAGAAGCATCCACAGAAGATAGGACTTAACTTCAGGTAAACATAGAGAAAACAGGTATGGTGATGATGAAGATTCCAGACCGCCAACAGCAACAGCAACAGGCGACAATCAGCATAAATTGGAGAAGTCTGCAAGAAGACATCCTCCTTTACCTACCTACCGACCGACCGACCTAGGAAGCATCGTTCCAACTACAGGCTCACGGAACTGATGAGTATATGAGAGCGAGGATCGGGAAAGCAAGACAAGCTTTCATTACTCTCATCAAGTGTGTGTGGATATGAACAGCACTCAGGAAGAAAAATGAGATCCGGGTTTTCAACTCCAATGTGAAGTCAGTGCTACTATAGGGATCGGAGACTTCGCGCGTCACGAAGGCCAACTCGGATAAACTACACACCCTCACCAACAGCTACCTTCTCTGAATACTTCGCTCAAGATCAGATGGCCAACCAGAGAAGATGAGCAACAGGGATCTCTGGCAATCAACCAACGAACCGACCCAGCAGGAACCAATAGTGCAACAAATGTGCAGGAAGAAATGGACATGGATTGGATTGGTCATACTCTGAGAAAAGAAACCCTCAAGTGAGTGACAACACACGCCAGACTATCTTTCTACTACTCGACTGGAACCCGAATGGGAAGCGGCGAATTGGTCGTCAGTACGAGAGTGACATGGTGGAGGAGGAGATGATGCAAAGAGGAGATGAGAGCATGTGGGCAGACGTTGAGCCAGGTGAAAATGTTGGCAGAGAACTGAATGTAACGGAGACGTGTAGGTGAAGCCTTATGTTCCTCTATGAACTGATGGAAACAACAATAAATAACATAACAATAACTACTTCTGTTTCCCAAGGAGTAATTTCCAAAATAACAATTTCCCCAATGTTATCAGAGTACACGAATGGAGTTGATAAACTTACTAATGGCTGACTTATCCACCCATATTCTTGGTTCTCTGTTTGAGGCTCAATATATTTCTTTGGTGGTTCCAATGCAGCACGTTTTATAACTTCAGCAAAATGTTCTGTGAATGGTTTTCAAAGAAACAAAACAGACAACGCGTGGTGAAACTCCACAGGAAGCTTAGCGATTAAAAAGCTCACGCTGATAAGTGAATCATATCTTGATCTGCTTAAGACTCAGAAAAAGCAGTGAAAGTTAGTGAAGGACTGTGAATATACATTCATTTGTGAATTTTTATTTCACCTGAGTTTGCATATACTAGAAAACTGCCTCAGTGAATCTACTTTAGAAATCGGTGAAGTGATTACATTCACCAACACACTGGAAATGCCAACTACGTCACACCGTAGAAAACAGCACCACCGGTACCAAAACTCCATAGGACGAAACAACTAGGCTTATTCATTACTAGAATTAGATAGACGGCTCATTTCGAGGAATGAATCCAACTTGTGAAAGCCTTCGGAAGACTTGTCAACCGACATGTCGGCTTTCGATGAGAGCGAAGTTAATTATGGTGACATAGAATGTCGTCACCATCTTTGAGGCTGATCGGTAAGACCCCTCAGATTACAAAAGAAATGAGAAGATATGGTGCATGAGTTTCAATGACATATGAGACCAGATGGAGTGGAAGATGACTCTCCAAATTCCTAACTGGATAGTCAAGAATCTTCTCTGGTCACCTAGACGACAACCACGAGCATATTGTGGGAGTGGCTACCACGATGTTATCAACATCATTTGGGATAATACCAACAAGATTCATTTCAAAAGGTAGTAAAGTGACAGTAAGACAATATGGTGCACAATGCTGTAAACAACGCAGACGGAGAGGAGAAGGAAGGCTTCTACAGACGACGTCAAGCAATAATGGACAAGACCAAATCCAAATAGTGGCATCAAACTCCTAGCGAGTAACGTGAACAATGCCAGCTAAACTGGGAGCGGACAGCACGGGAGGAGAAGCCATCATGGGTCTCGAGGCAGTTAGTGAAACGAATGAGAACGGTGAACTATTCGGAGACTTCTGCACGTTTTTAATTTGGTGATTGGAGATAGCGTTCACAAGGGCAAGGATATAAACAAGGCCATATGTGCTTCTGCCGATGAGCTTTATTCCAGTCCCATCTCGAGGATGTGAAGATGCAGCCTGTACTCTATCTCCCGTAATAAGTGGTATGGTGATGGCTAGCTGGCTGGTTGACTGGCGTAGATGCATTCACTCTCTGTTATTTATCATATCCAATTAAACTCTACTCTTCTTCCCTATTACTATTCTACTTCCCTCACTCACAATTCTCTCTTTTATCTGTGTGTGTGTGTGTGTTTTGAATCTCTCCTTTCTCTCTTCTCTTGCTTTGTGTATTACATGGAGTGATTGTGTCAAGTTGAACTGGAGCACATCTGTGGAAATTTCTTTGTTAAAACAGTCAGTCAATCAGTCAGCAAGCTGCGTAGTCGAGAATAGGAGAGGATGTGGCCTCCTACCATTTTGTAGACGAGAGACTTTGCAACACTGTATCAAATAACCAGGTCTCTATCCGACAAGAGATCAATGCAGATCTACTCAGTGATAGGTGGCGGAAGAAACCCAATCACCAAGATGATGGAAGAGAAGAAACTCTGGGCTGACCACTCTCAAGGACTTCTGACTCGACCATCACCGACAACTCAACTCGAAACACTGATACCAGACAAAGAAATCAGCCACCTCAAACAGAATACTAGTTTAGAGGAAAATATTGGCCTGGCTCTTAAAAATCGTTAGGAAAAGATATTTGAAATGAGAGCTTATAATAAAGATACGACTAATACGACCAAACTGAAGGAAGTTACAGAACATGACTTAGTGGATACTAACCCAGTGGGTGGGTGGTAAACCTGACCATTTAACAATGTGAACTGCCTCGGTTTCATTGAAATTTTACGGAAAACAGGGTGACCCACGAATAGTACAGCGTAAAATCATAAGAGATGGTTTATCGGATGTGTGTAATCACATTGGAGTACTCCTGACACCCCTTGTGTTTACTTCAATTTATGCGGGTGGATTATTCTCTTTAACTGTCGGTTTCTGAGAATTAACTTATTCCTCAATACTGACTTGAACTTACTGTCTTCTGAGTCAATTTCTTGTATTCTGTTTGGTTTATCAGCCAGAGGACACACTGGAAGATCAATCAGTAAGTCAAAACCTACTTTTCTTGAAAGGATTGATGCTATATTCAGTAAATAACTTCTGATGCCTGAGCTCCTTTTTGATTGTTTCACTCATAATTATAGCTTGGTGGACATAATTCAGCATCTTGTTATTTTGATCGGACATTTTGTGTTCTGTAAATTAATGAAAAGTCTTACAGTAAATTTCCATATTATGACATGTAATTGTGATAATCAGAAATTCATAAACATGTCAAGTGTCCACATTCATTCTGTTAATTGATAAGAGGTTACAAAATGGAAATCGAACATCATATATTTGTCCTTTCGTTTAGGAGTAATTCTCACACCCACCTTACTTTTGATCTTCTCAAATAGCAGCATCTTTGGTGTTTGTGTGCTGCTGCAGACCTGTTTGCCCGGATGGAACAAACTTACACTTCTGGACGCGCCCATTGTTATTTGTAGACAATGAGCAGCAAAAAATCACTTCATACCTGAATCCTAGTTATTGTACTCTGGCTTCCATTATTTCAGACTTACTGTCCTTTATTGGTTAGACAGTGAATAGTTCCAAACTACTACATTGAAATATAGGTCCATATCAAAACAAAACATAATCGAATAAGTTGGTTTGTGGGAAATTTGAACTTAAGGAATGGATAAACAGAAAATATGGCCAGAACACAAACAACAGCAGAATGCCACAAAATGCCCAAAAGCGGATGTCGAAAGGAAATGTACATAAAATGATAGAAACGCAATGGTCGGCGATCATCGTGCAATATCAGCTATCCGGTGTTAGCAGCGGAATAAAGTTGCGTATCCCAACTATTCCAGTGATTGCTATTTTATAATGGAAAGAAACGCCAAAACATATGTTTTGACCATATTATGGTCAGTGGCTCTGGATCTTATGGTCCGGATTAGATTACAGTGTCCACGGATATGCTGATACTTCGATTTCAGCCAAATTAACCCAAATACTTTGTCTTCCACATCTTGTTTCGAAGCGTGTCACTGCTTTCGTTGCATTATATTCAGTACCTTGCGTCCATTACTATCCATTCCTCTCTAATCTGCATGATGTCGAGTTTCCACACCTAGATAACGGGATCAAATGACCCCGTTATTAGCCGCTCATTAATTAATGAGGAGTAGCGATACTGAAACAAACAAACAAACGAACAATGGAGAATTAGGCTGAGATTACATAAAAATATCAGTGTGTGTCGCAATCTTCCCTTATCTCTAAAGACTTATTCAGTCATAAAGCGTATGGTGGCTACAGTACAGCTGAAAGGAGTGGATTTTGGATCATATTAACTGTCATAATTTTACGGCTGATGACAGTATTGTTACTGGAACAAAATCCCAATTATCAACGTTCATTGTGTCATTGAATACTTCTCAGTGTCCCAAGCTTGAAATAGTTGTAAACTTTTTCTAGAGTATGCGTCGCTAATGCCTTTTTAAAGTGAATGAATTCTTTACCTACTCACCATGTGCTGATATAACGTTGGTCGTGCTTAAAAAGGGCGCTGTGTACTTAATTATTTGTTAATAAATCTCGCTTATTCCGAAATAACTCTAACATTCTATGATGAGTAAATTCTGAATCTGTTCTGAAATGGTTTGTATAAGGGCACAGACTGGAACTCAGTGCTGGTTTTCAGGATTTAGCACAGTGTTGTTTTTCTAGGCATATTCAGGAATATATCAGAACCTACTGGGTTTGCTTATCAGTGTTGTTGCAGCCCTGATAGCACATATTAGGCTCTGACTATCGTTAATTCAGAAAAAGAAGACCTTATTCAGTAAAAAGAGGTAATTTTCTAGCAGTGAATTCATTATTTCATCTGTGAATCGTATTTATAGGTTTCGTTGCATCAATTAAGCACCCAGAGCTCTTTTTAAGCAAGACCAACGCTATTTCAGCACATAGTGTGCAGATAAAAATTCGTTCACCATACAAAGGCATTATTGACGCATAGTCTAGAATAAATTCAGAGTTGTTGTAAGCCTTGCTATCGTAAGCTTGGGGTGTTGACTGTGGATTTTTTGTCAAACCTAATACATGATTATGAATTTATTACGTATCACCATGATGATTAAGAAACTGAACTTAAACTATTTTAAACTGAAAATACATACTCTTTAATGATGAATTTCTTAAGAAAAATCGTTATCATGACTTTTAGTGAATTAAGGGAGATGTCAAATAAAGCCCAAATAAAATTCAACACAGTTACGTGCTATTTAACAAGTACATGCATATATGCATATATATATATACAGTTAACTGTTCATTAGTATATTCGACTTATTATAATTGAGTGAAAGTTTAGAAACAAAATGTTTGCTTGACTTTTGAAGGATTAAAACTTTTGCTAGGGATTAACACATAAATCATAGTATTACTATGATGAACGTAGTTAAACTGGTCTGGTGTAAAAGGTTTACAATAAAATTACTATTATTTTGAAATGTTGAGCTATCTGTAACCAGGCTTTGATTGGTATTGAAGGACTTAAACAAAACACATCGAGCTTTATAGATTCAGTTTAGAAGACCTGAAGCCTATATTAAGCCATTTCTCATTAAATACACGAGATTTTATCTTTTGAATGGGTTTTTCGAGTCGCCTCTAAAAGCTAACAACTCAATTAACAAATCAACACTCCATATGTGTTTTGTTTTTCTAATTGGGTCTTAGTCGCTGCTACTATGCCTCATGAACTTTAAGGCCTGTTGAGGAGCAAAGGGGAGATAAATGCAGTTTATGTTTACTCCTCAATTTTCTAAATATTGTGATTATCTCGCCTTCACTCTGCTGTATGACAATCAAATAAGTTATTTCCCAAGTAGAATCTCTTCAGATTATACAGCCGTCGGCGTAGAATGCCAGGATATTTGATGAACATAGGTAGTGGCCTGATTTGCCAACGTTTCTGGAGTGCATTTGTTGTTTTCAAGGGAATTTATAACGGCCTCTTTTATTATTCATCCCAGGATTTTATTTGATGTGTGGGCATGAATAATAGGTGTGTTGCCTGAATACTGAACATTGTTTGATCCTCTGAGTCAAGTGGAAACCCACTTTGTATGAGAAATAACTTTAAATCAGTGGCCAATGGAACCAATATACAGCTTCCGTCAGCTTCGTGAGGAGCCTCAGTTTTAGTTCGTCGGGATTGAACTGATATAGTTGTACCTAGTGCACTTGGAGATCCCTACACATTGTTTGCTTCGAAAACCATTAAATATTTCGGATGTACACTTTCATACAAAGTAGGCGATCTCCACATAAATCGCTAAGATTTCTTCTCCTCATTGATCTCTTCCCGAGCAGTTTAGCTCCTTTGCGATAAGCACCAATCGGTTTGGCACGTGGGCTGGTTTGAATTCGTGAGCATAGTACTTGGTCATTTAAGACGTGCTCCATATGCTGCGACGTAGTGATCCGTTGGTTAGCTACGCTTGCCTACAAATAAAATATGCTATCTGTGCAATTTTTTTCCTTCACGTTCTCCATTGGAACATAGGGCTTCAAGCTAGTGGGGATTGAACCCCGGACCATGTGCGTGATCGGCGAGCGTCCTAACCGCTATGCCACCGACGCACACATCTATGCAATATACATAGTCATATGCGTCCTCTGAATGGTTTGTGAGATCTCTCCATGCAGTAATCATCGTTACCGAAAATGGTACTGAGAAATAACTGGCCATTTTTTCAATGCATTCATATTTTATCAACATTTTAGTATTACATCAAATTTCATCCTGCAGGCAGTCGTTATTCTTTGCCTACACAAACCCTCCTTTACTTGTATGAACATTACTATTTGTGCCATATTGGATTCAAATTGCTTTTAGTTATAAAAGACTACGGAATTGTAGTCTGATTTGGTATTCTAACGGTCCTGATCTTCTGAAGATTTTAACTGAAGGTAAACCCACCCCACTATTTAAACACGGTTTCTGCTCATTTATTCGTTTCAAGCATAATTGGGACAATACGCAATTTAGGAGATGGAGGACATTAACACTTACGCAAGATATCAAGTGTACAATTGGAAGTGTTTGTACTGCAACTCCTGAAGTATTTGTTCTGAGACTAGCGGCAAGAATCGTGCCATAGAAGTAATGCATCGTCTTACAGAAATATTGCGTCATGTTCGTCTCGTCCCATGAGCTATGTACTAGGATCCTCCACAGACCCATAACTATCAGCATCTGCCTCATGGGCCCTATAGAAATTCGCGAGACATCTTAAAGGCCAGCTCGCCATACAGGTTCTAATCATTCAGTTCTTTGAAGCCACTTCTCACTGAGATATCGCCTTTTGCTTCGCGATTATTTTATCAAAGAACTACACTCTATTTCATCTTAATTACCTAGGCGTTCAATAAAGCTGAAACCTACTCTTTTATTCGCATTCTTCTTCACTCGAGTGATCGCCCAAAGTTTGGTTGCTCCGCTGGAGTAAAAAAAACAACAAAACCAATGTTTGAACAAAGCTATATTTTCATCGAAATCGTCATAGTTTTCATGGTAAGACCATCAAGGTTAACAGTATACATTGCAAATATATGCTGTCATTCCAAGGATTCTCTAGCTCCTTCTCGTGAATATCTTATAAGTGTACTTGCAGTGACGTGTTATACCATTTTTCAGTCACCCAGAACGTTCTTCTCTTCCTGAAATAGCTTTTGATGACGTGGAACAGGGCACTTACCCAAATATGTGTTGTTCATTGGTTAACCATAACCATCAGCAGGAAGCGGAACGAAGTTCGGGCTGGTGCTCGACCTTGACGGTGACCTTAGTGAAGGGCTTGCAGTTCGTATTAACCTGTTCCTACTGTTTGTGCCGAAAATGACCATTCAGACCTTTGATACTTCACCAGTGTAATTTGTAACATATCTGACCGCGCCTGTGAAAACGGCATGCATTTCGTGTAGACTTACAGGTTTATACGAAATGTAAATCATTATTATTGAGCAGAGTCCACGGCTCGTAGGAAACTGAAGGGTGGAGAAAGTCACATGACAGTCATGCGTTATTGCACACACTGGTCCAGTGGAAGTACAACCAGCGCTAACTCTCAAAGTGTTTCGTAAGCTGGGTAGGACTGAAGGAAGTGACTCAGTCCACTTTTCGGTGGTTTAGGTCGGCAGTTCAACCTTCAATTTTCGTTAGAAATGTTCTATCTTACCACTTGCCTGACGACTGTGTGCTATTTATTTAAAATGCTTGCAACTGAGAAGTTAAGCTGGGGCTGAAAACTGGCCAGTTTTGACATCGCCCACGATTAGTTGTTATGGGGAGTGGTCATCTAAAATATGTTATCCATATTTCCATGGGAACGCGTGTGTTTCAGCAGAGAGGTCGTTGCTGGGGTCAGCTGTGGCCTATCAAGAAGGAGATAAGATATGGGACAGCAGATCGGGTTGTTGAACAGGTTCAATCAGAACTTCCTGAACTTGATTGATGCCTGCATCTGGCGCAATGTCAGCAGTAAGGGGCCCTTTTGTGAGTTTTGTTGTTTCGTGTTTTAGTAAGCTGTGCATGTATGGACCGAATTCCTTCTTTCCTCATCTGTACCAGGTCAGCGATATCGACTGGAGAGGTGTTTAAAGGAATAATGGTGTATTAAATGCATTATGAACGTTTCATCTGCAATATTGATACTTACGTGGATATTTTAACTAACATTGTATTTACTTTCTTTCCCTCTCCAGGCTGTACAATGCTGTATCACCGTCTGCACTGTGCTTTTGGCGTACCTAAGATTATATCCAGTGTCTTCTGAAAACGGAGTACCTTTAATAGGAGTATACACTACCTGGTTAAGAAGCTTATATAAGAGCACCAAATTTAGTCTCAGTCGTCTTAACCAGTGTTTCGAGTTCCAGGACCTCACATCTGGTTCAGTAGTTTGTGCCGTTTTTGGTTTCAAGTACTTTTAGCGTGAAGTACCTTTGTGCTCCTTCTACTTTTAGTTTGTCCTCTATGCGTATAGTACTAAATATGAATGAGCAGTAATCTACGATTGGGTGCATGCAATCCTTGTATAGTAGCATTCTCGATTCACTTCTGTAGAAGTTCTTGAGTAGGAAACCCGCAAACCTGCGTGATTTCGCTACTTGTTTCGAGATGTGCTCTGAAAATGATAGATTGTGTGAATATTTTAGTCCGAGGTCTAGTACAGATTTGAGTCTGGGGATTCTGTGGCCTTGAATTACTAGGTCGAACAGCCTTTGCAGAGTCAGCCACAATTTTCGGCATTGAACTGGAGTCTCCAGGTGTCAGATCATCCATCCGTCTTTATCAATTCTTCATGCACAGAGTTTACTGTTGTATTGATATCTGTATTTGTGTATGTAAAGGTCACCTTTAAGTCATCTGCATACAGTATTGGTTTGCTATTGCTAAAGCATTCACATGTACTGTTCATATATTACGAAAAGGAGAGGGCCTAATACACACCACTGGATGACATCACTGCTGAAGGTGATCCAGCAAAATTTTATCTGATTTCTAGCACAGAGAAATGATTTTATCTCTTTTCAGAGAGGGGTGCGTTTCCCTAGTCAGCAGGTTATGCTGACTGGGGTTCATATCACCCATGAGGATTTCGATGTCACCATTTGGCTTGCTGTCCATTACTGTTTGTAGTTGTCCGTAACACTCTCCCTTCTTGTTTTGTTCCAATTTGTTTGTAGCACTGTGCGTAGCATTGGATAATTGTGACCTTCCATCCATTTGACTTGAATATTTCTATCATCAGCATGGGTGAGGAGATTCGTTCCCACTGCATTAGAGCCTTCTGCTGCTACTGTTTAACTCAGATCATTGCATTGTACAGGTTTAACCCAAAATTTATGGATAGTTACAGAAGAGAACATCTTCACACATTTCCAAGGCAACCGTAGGTGGACGATACTCTATGGAGAATGTTCATAAACTCAGGGGCGTGCTCAAATACACAAGGTGGGACTTGTTCAATGAAAACTCTTTTGATGACACTATCCCTAATATTACATGTTATCTCAAATTTTGTGCTGACACCTGTTGTCCCAGAGAAACGCTGTTCATCAGATTTCACCGTTTCCCCGCCCCTCAACTTAAAAAGCTTCGCAGGCAAAAAGAAAAGTTATATAAAATAAAGGATAGTACTGGTTTGAGAAGAATTAACATCCTAATAAAGTCTGAAATGCACAGATTGAATTCAATTTACAACCAAAAGTTTATATCCTGTAAAAATGCCTCTAATATATGGAAACGTTTTAAAAAAATTACTGGTGGTAAGCAGATGAGTAGTATTCCTTATTCCCTTGATGTTTGCACACTAGACAAGTTTTTCATACATTCTCCCACAAATGCCAAACTTTCTAGTGTTACAAGTGTTAATGAAACCTGCTTCCCTGGTTTCAATACAAATAATGTTCTAAAATGTCTCCAATCTCTGAACCCTTCTTGTAGCCTGGGTCTA